AAAGATAATGGAGGAGCCAACAGTGGTAAGAAGGACAATCTGAATAATACGTGGAAGCTTCCTGAAGTTGGTTGGTTTAAGCTTAATGTTGATGGGGCCTCTTCTCTGACAATGAAACAAGGTAGTTGTGGGGGTTTGTTAAGGGATCATAATGGAACCTTTAGAGGTGGTTTTAGCCTCAATATTGATTTCTGCAATCCCTTAGATGCTGAGTTGTGGAGTATTTTAAAGGGGATGGAATTGGCTTGGGGAATGGGAATAAAGAAACTGGAGATTGAATATGACTCTATTAATGCCATATCATTACTGCAAATGGATCAGGATGACCTTAGGGACTCCAAGGTAGTTCTGTAGATTCGAAAATGGCTTGCTATGGATTAGGAGATTTGTTGTATCCATGTTTGCAGGGAAAACAATACTTGTGCTCATTGGTTAGCAAAGAATTATGACAAAAACAATAGCATGGTTCAAGTCTATTCCACCCTCCTCTCCGTTTATTGGATTTGTTGTTGAAGGATGCAAGGAGTGTTTATGCTATTTCTGTTACTGCTAGTGTAATGTAATTCTGTTTTGTGGGGTCTACCCCTCCATATTACAAAAAAAAAAAAAAGATAAATAGTTAATGTTTAGGAGTGTGAATGGATAAAAATTAATACACTCATCAATTAAAATTTAAATTCAATAAAAATAGTTTATTTAGTTTAAGATAATTTAGGGAACTAAAATTATAAATTGTCAATGGAAAATATGGATAGGCAATTCAGAGTGTCAACGAGGGGTGTAAAAACGGATCGATATAACATGACACAAATTTGACACGACACGACATGAATATATGTAATATGAATATGACATGAAATTTTATTCGTGTCAGGATTTTCGACATGAACACAACCAACGTATTTTGCAGTTTGACACAACACGACACAAATGACACGCAAATTATGGGTTAAAACTGTGATTGATAAAAAAGGTAAAAAAAAAAAAAGGGTCGAATTCATGTTGACACAATACGACACGACACAACATGAATTTTCTACGTGTCATGTTTTTCCAACACGAACACGACACAAATTTTTTTGCGAATCAACCATAAAACATATTTTCGTCTCGTGTTACGGGTTGACCCACGGGTCATAACATGTTTTGACACCCCTACCAATAACCCCATTATTATGATTCTCAAATACCTATTCATATTCTCCACTAAGCACTTATAAGTATAAATATTTATATTATTCTTACTTAATATCAAAATTAAATTAAAAATTTTACTTTAATATTGATCTATTCACATTACCTTCCAATTTTCAAAATATTATCTTACCTCATCTCAATTACTCCGACCTCATTCCCCTCTTCCCTAAAGCTATTCAAACCCCTATGCGACTCTTCATTGCTTTTCTGTATGTTACAATTAGAATTTATGGTGATATCTTAAGTTGTTAGTTCGGAGTGTGGAAACAACCAGGACTGCGAAGCAAGTGAGATGTTAATATTGGCAGTACTAATTACCTATTCATATTTTATATTAGCAAATTTTATTTTTTTAAATTATTTCCACTTAAATATTATTTTTTAAAAGTAATAAATAATTATTTATTTTAATATTTATATATCAACAGTGCAATTGTTTTGTTTAAATGTTAAAAAAACTCTGTTTATGTCAATTACTCCCACCCAACTGTTGTCCTGTAACGATCCTGTATTCTTTCTTTGACTCTTCATTGTTATGTTAAACTTTGCGGTGATATCTCATAATCTTTATATTTTTTTTTTTCTAGCTTCTAGTTTATTCTTAAAGACATGCATCTTTGAAACGACATTTTGTTTTTTAAAGATTAGAAACTGGCTCTTGACATCCACTTGTTATTTATGAGTTAAATATAATATGTCTTTTTTTATTAATTATTTGGATGTTAAATTTTCATTTCGCTATTTTGACGTTTTTAGCTAAACATTAGGAACCAATGTTCCTTTTTTGGTAAATTTTGCATTTGAATCATTTATGTTTGATTTCTTGTTTGAACTTAGAGAGGGCAAGCCTAAGTAGTGCTAAAATAATTCTTTTGTGGTTGAAAAGTCACATGTTCAAAATCTGGAAACAATTTTTTTGTATATATGTAAGGACATAATGAATGTCATTTGAGATTGTAATCTAAGCGAGGATGATTGGTAAAGTAAAAATAAAATTATATATATATATATATATATATAAGATTTGGTGTTTGTCATTTTAAATGACATAATAAGTTATGTCATTTTAAGAGAGAGATAGACACAAGAAATAGAAATAATAGGAGAGAAAGTGAGTGGTTTTTTTAATTTAAATTTTAAATAAAAAATATTTTCTTGTGTCTATCTCTCTTTTAAAATTACATAACTGTATGTCATTTAAAATGATAAATACTTTTTCCATATATATATATATATATATATATATATATATATATATATATATGAGGTAGGATCATTTGACACCAATGTCAAATTTGAAATTTGACACCTCATCTGAGAGTCGTTATGTTAGTATGTGACACCATTGATCTTTTTTGATCTAACGACTCTAGATGAGGTGTCAAACTTCAAAATTGGCACCGGTGCCAAAGGATCCTCTCTCTCCCTCCCATCCCCCCCCCCCCCCCCCCCCCCCTCTATATATATATATATTAATTTACAAGCTGTTAGTGGGTGTACTCCTTACTAACAACTTATAACTTTAATTTAAATAATTTTTGTTGAACTTAAGTTTTTAAAATAATATTTTTCTATGTAGTATGTACTTTATAATTTTTTTAAAATATTTACACACCAAGCTTATCTCAATTACTCCGGCCCTGTTTTTTTTCCTAAACCTATTCAATCCCCTATTCCTTCTGCGTGTCTCTTCATTGTTTTATTGTATGCTACAATTAAAATTTATGGTGATGTCTCGTTATGTCATTGGGTTTTAGTTTATGTTTAAAAGAATTCTCATTTTAAATTATATAAGTTGTGTCATTTTACTCTAAGTGAGATTCACATTTTTATTTTATTTTTTCCATTCTCTCTCCCCAATGATTTATTATTTTTCTCACTTAAAATGATACAACTTTACATTCTTTAAAATGACACACATTTTTTCCATGTTTAAATACCTGCATTTGGAAACATCATTAAAGTATAATATAACCAAGATTTTTTAAAATATACCCGAATCTAAGTTGGGTTTAAAAAAAGGAAAAACTTCAAAAAAAAAACCCCTGAAAGTTTCATCAGAATCACTTACCCCCTCCCCGAAACTTTTAATCATTTACATCCCTACTTAAATGTTTTTTATCACTTATCCCCCTAACTTGATTTTCCATCCAAAATTAAAGTTAAATGAGTTAACTTTTTTAAAAAATACCAGAAAAAAAGAAAAATTAACCCTTTGATAAGAAAAGAAAGCACATTCTTGCACGGCTCTATAAATAAGCAAATGAACATATGGATCATCTTTTTGGAATAGCAAACAAAAAAGGGAATTGAAATATTTAATCAATGAAGTATTTAATCTTAAGATTCCTCCTATATTTAGTAAACACCAAATAATGGGGTCATGTAAATTGAAATCTTGCAATTCTGTTTACTTTTCTACAATGAAAGTGAATATTTTCTCTGCCTGAAGATCATAAACACACAACTTGCAAAGGGCTCCAAAGCTTCTTGTGATCGGCATCTCAACCATGCGGTCAAGGTGGTCAGGCTCGCAGTGGCGCGGTTTTACTCTTCAATGACTATCTCTTGTCAACAGTAAAGTTCAGTTAATGCAGAGGTTAATTCTTTTTTTTTTAGGATAGTTTTGGTATCTTTTTTAAAAATTAACTGTGTTAACCTTAATTTTGGATAGAAAATCAAGTTAGGGGGGTAAGTGATAAAAAAAATTTAAGTAAAAGTATAAATGATTAAAAATTTCGGGAAGGGGTAAGTAATTCTGACGAAACTTTCGGGGTTTTTTTTTAAGTTTTCTCTTAAAAAAATTGTAATACTAATAATCTTTGATTTTAGTAGTAAAGAGTTTGTTCCTATTAATAAAAACTTTTGAATTTAATTATTTAGAATGGAAAAAATGATGTTGAGAGAATTATTTGCCCCTGTATTATCCGACATTGCTATATCCGAACTAGTCTGATAATGGATGATTGGATAAATGTGTTGGAAGAAAATAAAACCATAATTTTCAAATTGAAGAATCCTATTGGGATTGTGAGGTCTACATCGTGAGACAAGAATGAGGAAAATTAGAATACATAATTGAAGTCAATCTTAATTAGGGTTGCTAAACGAGCCAGGGCCTTACATGGCCCTTTGACTCGGCTCGTGAAGGTCTGAGCTTACATGTCTAAAATTGATTGTTGGACCCAGACTTGGACTTGTATAAAAGCTCGTTTAATAAAAAGGCCTCATGCTCCAATTCAAAAGCTCGGCCTCAGAGCTTCTCAGGCTTGCCTAATATATTATTTTTTTATTTTTTTTTATTTTTTATACTACTTGTGATAGCCCTCTCTCTTCTCAATTCATTTCATCCCATTTTATTAATTAAACAGACTTTTTAAATGATTTTGTTTTATATTATGCTATTTGGATATACATTAAATTTATGAATATTTATGGAATTACTAGTGCTGTTGATTGTATATTTTGTTTGGATAAATTTTTGTTGTATTATTTTTTTTAAACAGGCTAAACAAAGCTTTTATTTTTTGTAAATGAGTCAGGCCACATTCTGATATTATATTCGTAACAGATAACAGGCTAAGGCCAGTCTGACACATTTGAACACAGGCTCGACCCGTTAAGACCAAAGCTCGGTTCGGATCAGCTCGTTAACACCCCTAATCTTAATACATGACATTGCGCGAATTAAATATCTTACATGTAACGAAAAGTCTTAGTTTGTAACTCAAAAATCTATATATGGAAGCACTTCAAGGTGGATCTCTCTCTAGTTCTTTGCATCTATCTGTTTGTTCCTCAACATGAATGTTTTTACATTCTTTTTCTCAGCCTTATGCTTTTGTATCCTCACTGAAGCCACCAAAAGCCCAAGAGGTTTCAGCATTGATCTTATTCACCATGACTCACCACAGTCACCATTTTACAACCCTTCAATGACCCCATATGAACTCATAAAAAATGCTGCTTTGCGTTCCATTTCAAGATCAAATAGAGTTTCCCTCTATTCAAATGAGTCCATTATGATTCCAAACAGTGGTGATTACCTAATGAGAATCTATATTGGTAGCCCTCCTTTGGAAAGGCTTGCTATAGCAGACACAGGAAGTGATCTTATTTGGGTACAATGTTCCCCTTGTGAGAATTGTTTTCCCCAAGACACCCCATTATTTGAGCCTAACAAGTCTTCCACTTTCAATGTTGTGTCATGTGCATCACAACCTTGCACACTACTCCCTGAGCTTCAACATGAATGTGGATATTCAGGTCAGTGTTTGTACTTTTACCAATATGGTGACAAATCATTCACTGCTGGAGTATTGGGTGTTGAATCCATTAGTTTTGGTGATTCCAATGATGGTAACATAAATATGACATTTCCAAAGTCTATTTTTGGATGTGGGGTTTACAATAAATTCACATTTGAGACCAGTAATAAAGCCACAGGACTTGTTGGTCTAGGAGCAGGGCCATTGTCACTAGTTTCACAACTTGGTGATGAAATTGGTCACAAATTCTCATATTGTCTAGTTCCTTTTTCAGAAACCACTAATAGTAAATTAAAATTTGGGAGTGAAGCAACAATATCAGGAAATGGGGTTGTGTCCACACCCCTTATATTGAAACCTTCTTCACCAGCATTTTACTACCTTAATCTTGAAGGCATAACTATTGGACAAAAAATGGTGCAAACAGGTCAAACTGATGGCAACATAATCATTGATTCAGGTACAACATTGACATATCTTGAGACGTTTTTTTACAATGAGTTTGTAAGTTCTGTGAAGGAAGTGATTGGTGTTGAGGCAATGCAAGAAGAACTTATTCCATCACCATTTGAATATTGTTTTAGAGGAGGGGCTAATATTAATTTCCCTGATTTTGTGTTTCATTTTACTGGGGCTGATGTTGCACTGAGTCATGGAAACATGTTTCTTAAGGTTGATGAGGATAACATGTTTTGCTTGGCTGTAGTACCAGCCCATGGAATTTACATATTTGGAAATTTGGCACAGGTTAATTTTCAAGTGGAGTATGATATTGAAGGGAAAAAAGTTTCTTTTGCTCCTACTGATTGTACCCAGAATTAGTAGCTTATATATTTTCCTTATTTTTTGTGTTGTTTGTGCTTGTATTGGAGCAAGAAAAAAAAAAGGTTAGTTTTATGTGTGCTTTTCCTTTTTTGTCTTGGATCTTGAAGGAGAGAAAGGTTTCTTTTGCTTCTGCTGACTGTACCAAGAATTAGCTTATACCGTTACTGTTTGCTTAATGAAGATTTTATTTGTGCTTGTGTTGAAAAAAAAAAAATTGTGTGTGCTTTCTTTTTATGTCTTGGATTTGAGTGATGTACGATTGTTATCAATAATCATTGATTCATGTTATCAACAAAATAATTATTGATTTAAATGAAAAAATTTTAAAAAAGAGTTTTGAATTCGGATGTGCAAGATAATTATTTTATTCTCTCAGAATTTTATTTTATTTTTAATTTCTTATTCGAAAATGAAGAAGTCACAAAAGTTTCTTTTTTATCATCAATTTTTGTTCCTAAATTATCGGTTTATTCTCTTATATGGGTAAGAGAAAACTTAGAGCGGGTATCCTACATGCAATGTTGCCAAAATCGATAGAAACGGAAGGTGTAAATCATAAAAACATATGTGTGTGTTTGAGAGAGAGAATTCTTTAACATTAATATCAAACTTTAAAATTTGACATCAAATCTTAACTCTTGATTTCCGTCAATCAACGGTTATTATTTATTGAGAATTAATAATTAATTAATTAGTTTAATAGGCAGAAATAATAACCGTTGATTGAGAAAAATCATTGGTTAGAATTTAGTGTAAAATTTCAAAGTTTGATACCAGTGTCAAAGGATATTGTCTCTATATATATATATGAGAAAAACATTTCTCCGGCAACTTGAGAAATAATAAGCCCTATATATGTATATATATATATATATATATATATATATATATATATATATTACTCAAAATTTAATAAATAATTTCATATTTAAAAGATATAAGTCACATAATTATATAAGACATAAGTGCAAAAATAAAGAGTTTAACAATTCCTACAACCAAGTTCCAAGACATCAAAGGCCTGTTTGGTGTGACGTATAAGGCATGATAGTACAAGCTTATACTATACGTTATGATATTTTCAGTTATTTGGTGTGACCATCGTATAGTATAAGCTTATACAGCATAATCCCTTAATACATCAAAATGATGTATAACTTAATGCGGCCTAAGGATGAGGGATAAGGCCTGATAAGAGATTGATGTATTAACATCGTTGACCAATATAATTCTCAAAAAATAATATATTATTTTAATATTAATTTATTAAAATAAAAATTAATTTTTCAATATATTAATTTTTAAAATATTGAATAATTTTATTTTTATAAAAATTAATTTATAATTTGGACACACTAATCAATAAATTTTTATAAAAATTAATATCGTATGACATTTTTATAAAGAATTATATAAATTCTTTATTAAAGGATATTTTTATTAAAAATATTTATTTTAATCATATATAGTATTATACAGTGCATTACCAAATACTAGATGATATTATCTTATACAATATATTATTTTATACAATACCGTGCCAAATGCTGGATAGTATTAAAATTCAATTAGGTCTTATACTATCAGATCTTATACTATCAGGCCTTATCCTATACTATGCACCAAACATGCCTCAAAAGAATAAAGTTTAACAACTCTCAAATTATATAAATTGATTCAATCAATTGCATCTCTTCAATGTCCTCTTCTACTGCTCTCATTTATAATAAAATGTAATAGATATTTTCATGTACACAATATAATATATATAATATTTTTTTATTAATATAAAAGTTTAGGTGGGTTTAGACACTAGTATCCCAAAATAGTCATCTCCCAACCTCTTTGAGATTTTCTGTGAGGGATTATAGATCACCTCCAACTTCTTTAAAGATTTCTGGGATAAATTATATATCTCCCACCAATAAAGTCCTCATATCGATTAACAGAATTTGAATCCACACCCTTGTGGAGTATGAGTAAAATCCTTAACCAAATGTGCACATCTTTCTTGGCTAATATGTATAGAGGAGGGATATTCTAACTACCAAAATTTTTCACTACTAATTTACTACCTATTTAATCACCATCAGATTAACATTTTCTCTCTCTTTGATCCAATGGTAATGTGATGGGTAGTAAGGTAATAGTGAGATTTTTTGGTAGTTAGAATCATTGTTGTAAAATCTGGCCCGACCCGGCCGAGTCGACCCGGTGACCAGACCGGTTCGGGTCAAGCATTGGACCGGTCGTGCATCGACCCGGTCAAACCCGATCAAAACCCGGCCAAACCCGGTCAAAACCAGTGACCCGGTGACCCAGTGACCCGGTCGGGTCATGTATTTAAAAAAAAAAACCAAAAAATCAAAATTATTTCATCTTGTCAAAAAAATGTAGAACTCATTTTAATTTTTTTTTGTAATTTTATTTGTTAATATACTCTTCTAGAATGACCTCAAATTTCAGCTTTCAATACTGAAGCAATTTGCGGAATAATAAATTAAGAGATTGTGACATATGTCATTTTTAATGTAGTTGAATTTGAAAAATATGATTTTAATGTCATTAAGAGGTATGTTTATGCGGATTATGAGTTGCAATTAAATTAACATAGTAATAGTATGCATTTTTATTTATTTATGCTTCATGTTTTTGAGCTTATTTAATAACCTTATTTAATTCATTTTAGATATGAAGAATATAATTGAATTTATATGTTCATATTTATATATATTTTTATATATCTATATATATATCCGGGTCAACCGGTCCAACCAGTGACCCAGTAATCCAGTACCCTGACCGGGTCGATGCCCGGGTCGGATTTAATAACACTAGTTAGAATATCCTTACTCATATATAATACATTAAATATACCCGCATCAGACAAAAAGTTATCAATAGATAATTTAATATAAATGTGCAGCGGATCGACCATTTATTTTGTATTTATAGTCTTCTACAATCATTAATTAACGGGGAATATAAATTTTTTATTTATAAACTACTATATATTAGAGATAGTACATTTCATTACACTAACAAACGTAGTTTGTAAAAATTTATAAAAAACATATAATCCTCCCCATTAACAATTGATACTTTTCAACCATCATATCGGTAGAATTATTAGTTTAACTGAATAAGTTAAGGCTTACGCCTTTAAAAAATGTGTATTTGGTTTATCGGTTTTATTTATTTTTATTTAGATATATAATTCAAAATTTATAACATATACAAAATTTATTAATTATTTTTTAATATAATAAATTAATTTATATAATATTAAAAAATTATTAAATGTTACAAGTAAATTATAAGGGGAAAGATATACTTACCACAAAAAAGTTTACCTCCTTTACAATCAACTTAATTACCGTTGATTTTCGTCAATCTAACGGTTATAATTTATTGGATTGTATTTATTAATTAATTAATAATTTCCAATAAATTATAACCTTTAGATTGACAGAAATCAACGGTGATTAAGTTAGTTGTAAATGTGATAATTTTTTTTTGGTGGTAAGTATATCCTGCCCCAAGTTATAATACCTAAATTATTTAGAGAATTTTATGTGATGTAAGCTTTTCTTTTAAATAAAATAAAATCACGTTGGACTTTTATATTCTTTTCAAAAAAAGTTAAGCAAAAGCTTAAAAAAGAAGCTTACAAAGATAATAAATTAAGATATTTTTAAGGTAAGCTTAAACCTAAAATAACTTATTTTCACCTCTAAACACAAAACGGGATAAATATGTAAACCTGCATTAAACTCTTCTTATTGCTCCAACCACGAAAATAACATCTTGGACTTATTTGCATAATTAAGATTCCAAGCTCATACCTACAGAATGCATAATCATTGAATCTTGAGGTTATATATATATGCCTAAATATTTTATTGCAAGACATTGTCTTTTAATCCGGCCCTTGCTAAGCCAAGTGCACTTTCTTGTATATAAAACTTGGATTCAATACTATTTTCAACCCTTTGCACCCATTTTTGGTCACACTTTAACAAGAAACGTTTAAGAATTTGATCGAAAGAACTTTAAGTCTCATTTATGCATTATACACATAAAGAAAATGCAAAGAGGCAGTATAATCATTGCCCTAGCTAAAACATTTTGGATCTGGATCCTATCATATGAAATAAAGATGACATTGTGATGTGGAGAATCATAACATATAAAGATAGGAGTGTTCGACAATCGATTCAAACCGTGGTGACCGAACCGAAAAACTGATAACTGAATTAACCAAAAATCGAAAAAAAAAATTATAAATTTTAATTGGACTAAATCGATTTTCAATTTGATTGGTGAAAACTGATGCAATCCAAACCGATCCAATATATTAATCCCCTCTACCTACTTGGGCCTATTCCCTAATCATAGTCCAGAAAATCTAAACCTAAGACCCATTAACTAAACCTAAGAAAATTTATTGGCACATTCTAGCAAGTTTCTGTTAGTGCCGTTATTGTGATTTCAACCTTTGGATAGGATAATACAAAAGTATAATTTGGTTCTATATAAATATAGCATTTGAATTGAGTTACGGATTTATTTTTATTTAGTTTTATAATGTTCACGTGAATGTGATACTACTATAAAATTATGTGCCAAAATCTGAAATAAATTTTTTTTTTAAGATCTCTCTATATTAGTAATTGAGATTAATTTTTCTTACTTTGTTATTGCCTAATTTTCCTTCTTATCCAGTAGGTGATAGATACTTGAAACCGAGTTTACCCAGTTTTAACTTTTTGTTGTACTATATTAAAAATTATATTATAGTTTAATGATACTTCTTGATTTCACAGTAATCATTATATAAACTTTATAAATCCAATACATACAAAATATATGTTATTTGCACAATAATTATCATACAAATTTTAGGCTTTTCAAAAAAATCGAAAACTGATCAAATTCAAACCGAATAAAATTGGATTGGATCGGATTTGAAATTTTTTCAAAACCAAATGGATGAT